GCCTGGTTTCGATGAAAAACTGGTGTTACAGAGATTAAAGATGTGTGTCATGGCTGACTAGTCTATAATCTGGGCAGTGTGACTGTTTTACTTTTCTGATTTTCAGGCAAGCTTTATCTCTTAAAATACAATTAAAATGCCACGACATGTGACCTTAATGTTTGTATGCCTTTGTGTTTGTGGCAGCACTCCTCAATACCTGTATTGTATTTGTTTTCTTAAGCTCCCATTCTCAAATGCATCTTAAATATGAATGAAGCAAAATACCAAAATATTTATTCATAAAGATTTGTATTTATTTTCAGTAAATTGAGATGCAAAGAATTATAATGATTTTATGGATTTTTTAGCACATAAACCAAGTGAAAAACTAAAAATATATGTGGAAAATGTCTCTGAATATATTTTAAAAGAAAAATTGACACTTTGTCAATTATCAGGAGATGCAGTAATTGTGATACCTTTAATAATGATGAAATTGACAAGTTATGGGAAGAAAGTTATGTACTAACCTCAGAATTGTAACCAGGACATGTGTAAAGTTTGCTAAAGTGTTTTGCTTTTGTTTCCTCATACACTCTAAGAACATTTGGTAGATGTCAATGAGAATTACAAAGTTCAAATTCTTTTGGTTCCTTTTCCCATTCTTTATTGTTTTTTCTTCTGAGGAAACTATTTTTTAAAAGACCTGAATACACACACACACACACACACACACACACACACACACACACACACACACATTATTTCCAGAATACTTTAGTGTTTCTTGCATACTCTTGCTAAGTCTATACTTTAAACAGAACTACTTTAAACTGGACTACATTAACAAGTAAGAACCTCTGGGGAATATATATTAATTCTGGTTGTTGATTTCTCCAGAGATACAATTTGAGGGATGAGACTCTAGAGGGGATAATTTTCACTATTCTTTTCCTAACTAATCTCTTATTGTCTATGCCTGCATATAAAATGTTTATACCAGTCAATCCTTATAGAACAGGTGACTTTGTGATCCTGCTTTAAGGAACATTGGCTCAACAGGTAATTCTGTGTAAACTGTCCCTCACATGTTCAAAATTATTTCTACTTCTAGTATAAAGGAAAAGAAAAGCACCCAACATCTTGCTCTCTGGGAAAAAGGAGAAGCATGTCCAGATACAAGTCCTCAGCTTGTAAAAAGTCTTAGACTCTGCTTTGTGTGACTTTTTATCTGCCAAGATCCATATTAACTCCTAGATCCTCACTTCCATTTTAAAATGTGACTGATAATACTGTTTTGTTAATATCCGTTTAAAATTAAAATTTTGGGGGGAATTTCGTATATGAAAAGTTTGTATTTACAACATTTTAAACATTTCCTTTCTTCTTTGCTATTTCTCTAGTTCTCTCCCAATTATTCTCAAATTACTGACTTCTTCAAAAGTTATTGAGATATATATATATATATATACATGTATCATATATGTCATACATATATTGTGCGTGTATATAATATACACATAAAACTTGAGGAACCCATTGAGTGTTGCTCAGATGTGTATGTTTTAAGGAATAACTAGTTGGGATTGAATAGCTCTCATGATTTGAGTTAGAATTTCCTCAATAATCCCATATATTTTAATATTATGATATAGGTTGGTAAATTATTTAGAAAATATTAGAAGTTGTGACTTATTTGTAGGAGGTGTGGCCTTGTTGGAGGACCTGTGTTACTGGTGATATGCTTTGAGGTTTCAAAAGCCCATTCTAGGCCTAGTCTCCCTGTCCCTAGATTAATTCTGTCTGCAGACTAGTATGTAGTTTTCTTCAGTAGAGTGAAACTGGTTATATCAATCACTACAGGATGAGGTTCATGTTCAGGAGTAGCTGACCAACATATAATGGATATCACAGAGGTTTTTGTTTTGTTTTTCTTTTGTTTGTTTGGTGTGTGTGTGTGTGTGTGTGTGTGTGTGTGTGTGTGTGTGCTTTTATTTGTTTACTCTTTGATGGTTTGTTGGGAAGGACATGGTTTTATTTCACTTACTTGATTTAGGGAAGTTTTTATTTGTATTGGGTTTTTGTTTCTTCACTAAGATAGTACTTAAAGTTGGGAAGTAGCGACAGGAAGAGATTTGGAAGAACTTGAGTGAGTGGAGAAATATGATTAAATATATTTAAATTAAACATTGTTTTAAATTGTAAAAATGTTTTCATTTTAGTTTAACATAGTGCTCATTTGCATGGCTAATGTTGCTTTATTTATTTTTTGTAAAATAGTTTATTAAAATTTATTGAATAGACCCTTAAAGACAGTTATTGTATGTACTCACTCATAAGTGGTTTTTAAACATAAAGCAAAGAAAACCAGCCTACAAATCACAATCACAGAGAACTAGATAGGAATGAGGACCTTAAGAGAGCCGTACATGGATCTAATCTACTTGGGAAATAGAAAAAGACAAGATCACCTGAGTAAATTGAGAGGATGGGGACCATGGGAGTGGGTTGAATGGGAGGAGAGAGGAAAGGAGGGGAGCAGAAAATAATGTATAGCTCAATAAAATCAATAAAAAAATGATAAAAATATTGAATAAAATACTAATCTTACCTTTAACACCAACAAAATTATGTTAAAGAGGATAAGTCTAAGAATAAAGCTTAAAGAAAGATTGCAGCTTATAAGTGAGGGAATGCTCAATGTATCTTTCTTTAAAAATTATGTCACATGATACTGGTTCTAAAAGAGAGAAAGTTTTATTCTTAATATTCTCTAAAATACCTCTGTCAATACCATCCACTGAATAAGACCAATCATCATTTTGGTATGGTCCTTCAGGACACTTCTAAATATCATAATTAATTCTGTGTCTCGTTTGGCTCCCTATGCGTTTTTAGTCTACAGAAGCCTGAAGAACATATCATCTTTATCCTTTATCTATGTATCTGGATAGTCACAGGAAACAATACTTAACACTTTTAGGTTTGCTTCAATATTTTTCCATGTTAACATCCTAACTCACATATCTACTCAATTCAGTATCAGCTCATAAGTATTCATAGTATTTCTAATAAATTCCCTGGCAATTTCTTATTTGCTATAATCTAAATTATTGATATAATGCTGCTTCAAGGCAGAATTAAGATGCACATTTAAGAAGTATAAACCTATGAACATATTTATGTTATATGTATATGGTTCTTTGCATCTCAATTCAGTGGTCAGAAAACACAATTCTCTGTCATTAAACATTATTGCTATTTTGATTATGATTTATTCATATTTAAGATGCATTTCAGAATGGGAGCTTAAGACAGCTGATACAAATCCAGTACTGAGGAGTTCTCCACCAAGGACAAAGACTTGCTAACATTAAAGTAACACAAGTAGAGTTGAAGAGTAGGCAGTGGAATTAAGTGTGCTTGCAAGAATTGGGATGCAGGGAAAGTTAGATAAAGTTGGTCAAAAGTCCACAAGAATGGTTAGATCTACCATGATTAAGAAACAGATGATTGGACTTTTGTGATGAAGACTAATATTTACTGGAGCATCTTTGCAAAGTACAATAAACAGTAAAAGAAGCCAATTAAAAGACCCAAAGATATACAAGGTCATATGTCCTGGTATTTTTTTATTAATGTAATAGAATACTAGAGGAAGGTAATGCATGGTGAACCAAACTGTATTTATCTAGTCAAGAATTTCTGAAGGTTGAGAAGCTGAAGACCAAAAGATTACATCAAGCATGTGTTTTTTGTGGAATGGTGATATGATAAAGGTGTAGGGACTAATGGAGTTCAAAACAAAGTTATAAAGAAATGACCAAAGTCAACCCCATGTTAGGATCCTGTCCATGTAGTAATTAACCAGTTCTGAAGACAGCATCAGAGTGCAAAATAATCTATTCTTGCTATAATGGTTCATTTTTTTTTTCAGTAGGCAGTATTGGGTGTCAAATTTTCAACACTCCCAATTTGGAAGACAAATTCTGTCATATAATGTGGATCTCATTGATTAAAGTGGAGGTATACTATAGTAGAGAAAAACAGTAAAATATCAGTAAATACCTTCTTTCAATAAAATTACATATGAAAATGAGAAATCTCATATTATCATATAAGGAACAGCTTCAAAAGCATATAAGTTAACAATATCAAGCCTTATAATTATGAAGCAATTCCTCACAGTTTATAATGATCCAGAATGAAGACAACTATCTTTGTGAAATATAAGCAATAACAAATTTCATGTCTAAGAAAAATAAGGGTCAAACAAAGAATTTTAAGGTATCTCGCCTGAGTTTGTTGGTGAGTTTCTTATATCTTCAATTATTCTGTGATTTTTGTTTGCTAACATTACCCTGATATACTGTTAATTAAATTTAATAGACCCCTTTAACCAATTCCTTATTTTCTATGTGCTTGATATATTTAGACACTAGAAGATGTTTTATTTTCTTGATTTCTAATCTACTGGCTTTTTAGTATATTTTGGGGGAGTTTCATTTTCCTAGCCAATTATCAAGAATTGTAGTATAGAATTTAAAAGTGATATATAATTCCTTTGTTCATGTTTTTTAGGATAAATTAAACCAATTTTAATTTATTCAAAAGTAACTTTAGCAATGTCTATGGATCTCTTGTGGATAATGTGTTTATATTACCATAAGCAGAATTTTTCTTCAAAAGAGAGATACTATAAATAAGACTTGAGAAATTTTTAAAACCTTTAATTAAGTGTGCTAGAATGGTTTACATGAGGTAGGAAATGCGTACCAGTAAAAATAATTCATATAGAAATACTCAAAAGTATGGAAAGATTTATATGATTATTTCTATGCATGTCTCATTTCCACAGGATTGAAAAATCTCTGTTTAGATAGTAAAGAAGATGGAAGATGATTTGAGATACCTGAAAATGTCTGTACTCTGTGACAAAATATATTGAGCGATAAAAGTATGTATGTCCAAAGTATGGTTCCATGTAAAGTTTTCTTCTCACATAGAGTTTCCAAAAGAGAATGGAAGAACTAAATAATACAGCTGTGGCTGAATTCATCCTTTCTGGTTTAACTGAGAACCCAAAGCTTCAGTTGCCCCTTTTCCTCATCTTTCTAGGTGTCTATTTGGTTACAGTCGTGGGAAACATGGGCATGATCATCTTGATTTTGTTCAGTTCTCAACTGCACACACCCATGTATTATTTACTCAGCAGTCTGTCCTTTATTGACTGTTGCCAGTCCACTGTCATTACTCCCAAAATGCTGGTGAACTTTGTGACAGAAAAGAATGTCATCCCCTACCCAGAATGCATAGCTCAATTTTACTTCTTCTGTGCTTTTGTTGTTGCAGAATGTCACATGTTGGCTGCAATGGCATATGACTGCTATGTGGCTATCGCTAATCCTTTGCTTTACAATGTAACCATGTCCTATCAAGTCTGTTTGTGGATGATAGCTGGGGTATATGGTATGGGCTTAGTAAGTGCCACAGCTCACACTGTCTTTTTGCTGAGATTGATTTTCTGTAAGACTACAATAATAAACCATTTCTTCTGCGATCTTTTCCCATTACTGGAGCTCTCATGCTCTAGTATTTTTATCAATGAAGTACTTGCACTGTCCTTCAGTGCATTTAACATCATAGCACCAGTTGTGACCATCGTTAGTTCTTACATCTTCATCATTGTCAACATTCTCCAAATTCAATCCACTGGGGGAAGATCCAAGGCCTTCAGTACCTGTAGCTCCCACATCATGGCTGTTGCCATCTTCTTTGGTTCGACAGCCTTCATGTACCTTCAGCCATCATCAGTCAGCTCCCTGAGCCAAGGGAAATTGTCATCTGTGTTTTATGCCATTGTTGTGCCTATGTTGAATCCCATGATCTACAGCCTGAGAAATAAAGATGTCAAAGTTTCCTTTAAAAAGTTACTAAAAAAGGTGTTTCCTCTGAACAAAGACTAATTTTCCTTAGCAATATACTGCAGTGTTTACAATTTGGAGGAGGGAATTCTGTAAGCAGCAGTTGATAATACTATATGTGAAGCTATTGCTAATAAATGTTCATTTGGAGGAAATGTACCAGAGGTAGAAATGTTTTCTCACTTTCGTATCCATGGAGAACAGTTACTCTTTGCCATAACCAGAGAACCATCCCAGATAGCAATTATATCATCGCCTGAACAATTCTCAAAGCTCTTTGTGTGTTTTGTTTTTCATATTTATATTATGAACCCAACTCTGTTTCAGTCAGCCTCACATACATTTAGTTGGAAATAAATGAATGTATTCAATATCCTTTTGTTGTCTTACTGTTTTGGCTGTCTTGATAAATTACCAAATGATTTAAAAAGCAATTTTCTGAGTTGTATAAGATAGGTAATTGAAGCCAATCAATGATGGCACTCGCCTTTAATCCCAGAACTCAGGAGGCCAAGGCAGGCAGATCTATATGAGTTCAAGGCCAGCCTGGTATATAAGAACTAGTTCCAGCGTAGACTCCAAAGCTACAGAGAAACCTGTCTAAAAATTATATAGAAAGGAATTTTAAAAATTAAGTAGCTGCAAAAATCAATGTGTAATTCTAAAATTTGGAAATTTGGAAAGTATGCATATATAAGCAAAGGACACTTTCTGTTATATTCCTCCTTACAATGCATTTACCTTATTCTAAACTAGAATGGAGATGATAAACAGGAACAGATGACTATGTCTGTTCATGGTTATCAGGGTAGCATTTTTTACACTGTTGTTGACTCGTCAGTTCCCTATATGCCTCAACCCTTACACAGCCTAGGTTTAGGTTCCACGATGGGAAGAGTCATCAGTGCAATGAAATGAAGTAGTATCAGATCATCAAATGAGTTTCTCACAAGTGGCCATCCTAAAATAGCTCAAGCTGTCTTATTTATGCTTTGTAAAAATGCATGTATTTCTACACTAACAAATGTATTTTCCCACCCTCCAACGTAAAACTTCAGCATAAACAAATTTGTCAACTATGTTTTCTCCAACCTTTACATCAAGACATCTTCTAAAGCAAAAGCAATGCCTACCAAGTTGTCAGCCTGGCCAAATATTGAACCAGGTACATTCTGCTTTTACAAAACTGGAAGGTGATAAACATATACATGCATTTTAAAGAACAAAAGTATCTTTCAGAACTTACCAAAGCATATTACAGAAATAGAGATGATGAGCCATTAGCTGTTGGCACACTTTTAGCTTGCATTTCTTCAACTGACCATTAATTTCATTGAGCCATACTGTCAGCAGCGAATCCCATAAATGACTGCTTAAAGTAAATCATGCACACAATCATTACTAAATCATGCGACACATTCTATCAATTGTATATTTGTCAAATTTGTTGAGGTTTCAACTAAGGAAAAATAAACCTAATGTTAACAATTTAATCAATAAATAAATTTATCCAACTGCTATAATTTCCAGAGTGTAGAGACACATCCAAGATGTTAAATTTTAAAAATATTATCAATGTTTGAAAGATCTATCGTTATGTCCATTATAACAATAACATACTTTGACATCTATGCTATTGCTTGCATGTATCACCTGTTTTATAAAAATTTTGAGTAGTATTTTATTCTGTACTAATCAGTGTGATAAAATATTTGGACTGTTCCTTACTTAAGCTTTAATAATGAATGACTAAAGACACCAGAAAGCTTTTTCACAATTCTTAAAACTGACAAATCTTTCCATTAATTCTGGAAAAAATCTGAAAAACACAAAACGAGAGTGCATATAAGATGTCTGTACACACTTACAATAAGCTGTAGTTATTTTTTGAAGTTAAAAGGTTTTACAATTTACACAAATAAAAATTCCTGTGTGATGAGTCTATCTGCTTCCCATCCACATGTTAGCATCATCCAAACTTTTTACAAACCTTTATAATCGTATGAAGGTGTCTTATTTTCATTCATCAGTGTTTAATAATGATGAGCATAGGCTCATATACAGATTTACTCTTCACATACTGACTTTGTAGGAATCTTATAAGTTTTATTTTTTCAGTTAATGTATTTATTTTATTTTTAGAAAATTGTCAACAGGATCTCTTATGCAAATATTTATGTGTTTTGTATAAAGCCTTTGCAGATTATTTAATCACTGTGGGTTTATTCTCACCTCATTTTTATTCCTTTAATCTTTAAAATATTTTTACTAATTCTGAAAATTGCATGCAACATTCTTTACTAATATTCACTGAACTTTCTCAACCCTCCCAAGGTTCATATCTTACCTTCACATGTAGTTTTACGTCCTTCTGTTGTTATTGTTTTACCATCATGGACAATGTTTTACGTTCAAACATTCTTGGATATGCTGTCTCCATCTGTAGTATGATCAACTTGTATGGCAATTCTCTTTTAGAAAAAAATAAGTGATACAACACTTTTCAGCCATTAAAGGTTGCCAGAAACTTCTTAGCTAGGGTAAACTGTGTGCTGAAATATCCTCTTATTTCTGAGAGTTGGTTTGGATTTTGCTTACACAGATATTGTCCAGACTTCACAATTACTGTGTGTCCTATGGGCAACTACTCTCATGTGCATAAACACGCTGTTCATTCAGTCAGCCACTACTATGGATCTTTCATTTTTCTACTTGCTTCTTTGGTAATTCTTGAGCCTTTTAAGAGGGCTGTTTTACAAATGTAGGTAATGTGCAAATTAAGTTTTATCTTTTTTTTTACAGTGTTTTACAAATTTATATGTACATACACACACACATATGCACTCTGATAACTATCACTCTCACCCCTCTTATATCCCGTGTTATGCTATTATACTCCCTTCTCTTCATAAGTCTCTTTCCAACATTATGACTACTTTTTTCTAAGCCATTTACTTAAGGTTTTAGGTTGTTTTTTTTTCAAAAAAGGATTTCTTTGTGTTTCTGTAACTGTTCTAGAACTAACTTTGTAGATGTGATTGGACTTGAACTCACAGAGATCTGTTTGCTTCTTACTCCCATGTACTTTGATTAAAGTGTGTGTCACCACCACCAAATCAAAGAATTCTACTGTAGAAAGTCTGACAGCCAGTGGTTTCCCTCCCACTGGGGCATGACCTTTTATACTATATATGCTGACATAGAGCTATAGAGCTTGAGTCCGACCTCTTTCCAGGCCTCTCTGTTCTTGTTGTGGGTTTCGGTTTCTGATCTCCATTCAAGCAGAAGATTCTAATTTGTGACTCTACCCCTAAATAAATAACCATCTAGTACCCAATTCTGAGCTAGTGTGGGATTTTTTAAAGCATCCTTCCAAAGAATACCTTTACTCCTTTAGGATCTGAATGAAAAACATGGCGGCAGGAAAACATTGTACCAGTGGTGGAGTTCTATTTAACTGGGCTCTCGGAGAACACAGAACTCCAGATGCCCCCTGTTCCTCCTCTTCATTAGAATCTACATGTGGTCACTTTATTATTTTTGGCATCGTGGAGTGTTACACGTTAGCTACAATGACATTTGACCACTATGTTGCTATCTACTACCCATTGCTTTTGTGTGTGTGTGTGTGTGTGTGTGTGTGTGTGTGTGTGTTGGCTGCGTTTGCTTCAGCTTTTCTTTTTATTATTTATTTATTTATTCATTAGAAATTTCCACCTCCTCCCCGCCTCCCTTTTCCCTCCTCCCCACCTCCTCCTACCTCTCTAGTCTTAAGAGCAGTCAGGGTTTCCTGCCCCGTGGGAAGTCCAAGGTCCTCCTGCCTCATCCAGGTCTAAAAAGGTGAGCATCCAAACAAATCAGGCTCCCACAAAGTCAGTCCATGCAGTAGAATCAAAACCTAGTGCCATTGTCCTTGGCTTCTCAATCAGCCCATTGCTTTTTAGTATAACCATGTCCTACCAGATTTATAGTTCCTTGATTTCAAGAGTATATACATTTAGTGTGTTCTGTGCATCAGTTAATATAGGCTTCATGATGAGGATTTGGTTCTGTAAATTAGATGTGATCAACCACTATTTATGTGATCTTCTTCCACTCTTGAAGCTTGCATGCTCTAATACCTATATCGAATTGTTGATTCTATTTTTTGGTACATTGAACATCTTTCTCCCAATCTTGATCATTAATACTTCTTACATCTTCATTAAAGCCAGCATCCTCCGAATTTGCTCCACAGAAGGCAGGTCCAAAGCCCTCAGTACCTGCAGCTCCTACATCTCTGCTGTTGCTGTCTTCTATGATTCTACTGCATTCATTTAATTATAGCCATCATCAATGAGCTACATGGACCAAGGAAAAGTTTCATCCGTTTTTACTTTTATCATTCCCATTGGTCTACATCCTGAGGAATAAGGAGGTCAGTATTGCCTTTGCTTTTTAGCCAAGGCACAGGTTAATTTTTCACGTGGTCTGCTGCTGGAACTCCATGCTGGGACCCAGTGCCACCAGATGGGATTTATTTTCATCTCCAAGCTTCTAAAAAGGTTGAGATTTTCCTGTTGTAATCTCTTCTAAACAAGTTCTAGTTGTCACCCAATTCCAAAATCACCTGGGCTCCAAATGCTATGGATTTATTCAACCTAGACAGAATGTTGTGGCATTTAGTTGGCTACCCTCCGCATGTGCTTTTACCAGACAATTTCCTTTGTGTATTTTACATAGCTAGGCCTCTGTCATTCTTCTTTATGGGATGTGGGCTCTCCCTGAACATCCTTCTTGAGCTGCTGTTAAATGACATAGCTGTTAAGAAATACTGTCAGTCTTAAAGACTATTAAAAATTAGGAGACATTTTTCATCTATGGCATACTTTTGGGATAGGTCCTGATGACCTGATTAATTTAAAGAAACTTGAGTGGGTGACAAGGAATTAATAGTCCTAGGAAATTATCAGTTGAACCTGAGAGAAAATTGCCTTTTATTGAAGAGAAATTACAGAAGGTATAGATGGATGGTGCAGATCTGAATCTTAACTGCATTCTGG